TGGCGGGGCGGGGGCCGTCTCGGCCCCCGGAACGGGGAGGGGAGCACGGCGAACGACCCCGGCCCGGCGACTGAGCCCACTTCACCTCAGGTACTTCGATGGCGCGGATTTTTCGAGCCTTCAGGGACCTCAAAAAGTTTGCCTGAGGGCGGGATATGGGGCGCCGGGGCCCCGGAGTGTAGGTGTTGAGGACCCAGGGAATGAGGGGAGAGCCACGGCGTGTCGAGACCCTCCCTTTGCTTCGCCCCACCGCGTGTGCGTTAGGGAATCCGGGCTCCTGATCCCGGTTAGAAGCGGGAATGATTTTCTGAGTCCGGGCCAGTTTTCCCGCGCCCTAGGCAGGCGGGTTCCTTGACAAGGCCTAGCTCGACAGCGGGTCTCCCAAAACGCTGGGTTCGCGAGGGCAGGAGGTTGGGCCAGACTGTGGTGAGGCTGTTAGATCCGGCGGCCCGTAGGGCTTCTGGGGCCAGGCGACTTAAGGTAAAATACACGCGCGTGTGAACACACACACGCACTTGAATAATTGTATCGCCAAAATAGAGAGCCCTTGGCTGGGGGCCGGACTTTGCGTGTGAGATAGCCGCCAGCCTTCCCTCCCGCGTTCCCGCTCTCCCGGGTTCTTCCGCCTCTCTCTTCCCTCCTTGGCTGCCAGCAGCGAGAGTCCGCAGCCACGCAGCGCGCGATCCCTTCCGACAGCGCCGTACTTCGGAAGACTGCTGAGGTAGTAGTGATTTTATGAATTCCTGGTCCCTCCGCCGCACCCTAATTCTGCCGCCCTTTCCTCACGACTGTGTGAGGGGACATGGCCTTTCTGACTTCCTGAACCCTTGGAGCCTGGCTTAGCCATGTTCTCCCTAGCTGCTCCCACCACCACCACACCCCAGACGTGGGATTTGATGGTCGTTTGATTACTGCCCCTCATCCCTCTGCCTGAGATTTAAGGCCTGTCTGGTCTTGCAGCTTCTTCTGGTTAATGTTTGACAGTTCATTGTAGCTAATCATTTTAATTAGCTCTTAAAGTGGGGAGGAACAGTTAACCTTGGACTTCTCGATTTTTGCCTGGTGGGGCCTCAAATGGGAGGAGTGCTGTGGAGGTGGGGAGGTAGGAGCGGAAGTGAGGTCACCACCCCAGGGCCTAAGCTACCACTGCTGGGCCCCAACAGCTGGTGGGAACGCCCATCAGGGACTCACCCCCTGTGAGCTGACCCCTGGCCTGAGTATCAGGTGGGGGGGGGTGTGAGTGAACAGATCTAGCTCTCCTTTTTGGCACTCAAAATGCCCAGGGAACAAGTATGCCTGGCAAGTATGCCTGCAAATCCCTCCCCACAGTTAGTTACACAGAGTTTGACCAGTTGTAAAGTGCTTTCTACCATTAATTCAGTGGACCCAGAGCAGAAAAGCCTAGCAAGGAGCTATTTTGAGTTGAGTGAAGGACCGAGCTATCCTGGAGGACTTACTATCCCCGAAAGTGTGGGGAAGAGGCCGCCGTGCATGTAGTTGTCTCTAAACCTGGGTTCAAAGGCTGGGATGTCTTGTAGGGGTAGGGGGAAAGGGGAGCAGGCTCCACGTTGCCATTCTCACCCAGCCTCCATCATGAGGCGAAGGAGTGGCTTGTTTGCAGCCTTGTCTGGCATCCCTCCCACTGCTGCACTGTTTGTTGGGTGGTTGCTCAGGAACTGGTGCCCACCCCTGGACAAGCCGGGGGTTTGAAACCCACCCTCCACTTGCCTAGAGCTAAGGTAGCAAGGTTGCTTCTGTTGCCTCTCTCTTATATTGGTAGTTAAAAATTAGGGCACGATGGTCTGTTGTTCATGAACCTGATTGATAGGATGTGCAAAATGTCCCAAACCTGCAAAAATCAGGACTTTTGTCTCCTAGAGGCCCAGCCAGATGAAGGCTGAGGGGTACTGCTTTACTAGAGACTGCTTTACTAGGCCCTGCTCGTAAGCTTGGCCTTGGTCCTCGTCAATCCCAGCCTCCAACTTTCTCATTTTACCTCCAATCCTTAGAGCCAGACTGTCTGGGTCTAAATCCAACTTTCATATTTACTAGTCGGGTGATCTCAGTCCATTGTATACCTCAGTTTCCTCATCTGTCTAATGGGACCCACCTCATAATATTGCGCAGAAGGTTGAATACATTAATACACGTAAACTGCTTATCAGAACAGTTTGCGGCACACAGTAAGCGTGGGCTAGCATGATGATATTGCCTAATGCAGTGCCTAAAGCTCAGATTCAACTCAGCAAGCATTTTCTGAGAGCTAATCTCAGGACCAGTCACCAGTAGTAGTGAGGAAAATGTGTCGGTGAAGGAGACACCACCTGCTTTCAGGGATTGTGTATGTGGTTGGTGTGGGCTGGAGATATGGTGGGGGATGTGGGAGGGGCTGGGGAGAGTGGCTAGGTCGTCTATATAAATAACCATAAGTCAAAGCTAAGCTCCAATCCTTGAGCCAGTGCAGGGAGCTAGGTACCCCAGACTTGGAGGCTTCTCCTTGCCTGAGGTCCCTGGCTGAGTTCTGGGCTAGATGCCACTCCCCCAATCCCCCACCCCTTGCCATCAGAGGCCTGTCCTGGGATTTGGGTGAACAACAGGGAAAAGAAGATCTGGTTCGTGCATGGGCTGCAGGTGGCAAGCATTCAGTGGTATCATTTATTGGTTCCAGGACAGGCTGGCATTATTTAGGGCCATCCCTAAACACCCCTGTAGCCCCAGGAGTGGCAGGACCCATGCCTGTCATGCTCCCCATCCTCGCGCCTCCTGGAAGTCCCTGCAGAGCTGGGAAGGGCCTTGGGCAGCCTCCTATCCTCAGGCTTGGGCCTGACCCCAACCTGAGCTTGGTTATCTCTGGGATTTCTAAGCTGCAAAGAGGTTTCTGGATTCACTGCCGGTTTATTCTCTTTGTGGTTTACAAACTGAAAACTAGTTCTGCAGGGGAGAAAATAAACTCATCCGAAGTACCCAGAATCCCATGGGTGCATTCCTAGGGGTCAGAGGCTTTTCTCATCAACACAAACCTGCCTGCAAATCTCGGGCTGCTGAGCCTTGCGTGGCCTGTAATGGTGGTCCTGCCACTAATGCCCTGTAGCCCCGGCCCTAGCGTTGGTTGCCTAGGAACTGCTGGTTGGAAAGCTTATGAAGGTTCTGAGTTCATAAAGGCTGCTGAGTTTTGATTCAACAGACATTTATTAACACCTACTGTGTGCCCAACCTGTGCTTGGTGCCATAGGGGAGGTGAGTGAAGGAGGCGGCGGGGGAGAGATGACTAAGACACAAAATAATCAGAGGCAGGACAAGCAGCCAGGTCAGTGGCTGGTTAGGTGCTAATTGTGCTCCTTGGAGTAGGGGCCAGAGGTGGTCAGGGCTCTGAGGTCAGCAGTAGCTGGAGGAGGGAGGCAAATCTTTATGAGGGAGGCAGCTCGAGCTAGTCCTTGAAGGGGGATAGGGCAGTGCGGGGGAGATTTGGCTAGGCAGAAAGGGGAGAAAAGATGCCTGCCTTTCTCTTCCATGGCTAAAGACCGACCTTAGAAGCCTGGATAATTGGCGAATGCACGTCACATAAAAGACCAGGTTAGCGAGTGTGAGTGTAAACCCCAGTCTCCACTCTAGTTGATATAAAGCGGCTAGCCCAGACTAGGAGCCCGGCCCGTATTGTTAAGATACAAAGGGTGGCCAGGCTTCTCTGCCTCCCAAGCTGAGGGGATTTCATTTTGACCCACCCTCACCCCCACCACACACACACACACACACGCACGCACGCACGCACGCACACAGAGGCCCTGGTGAGAATAGAAAGATGGGGAAAAGAAAGATGGGGGGCACCAAAGGGGCAGAAAAACTGACACGACACAGGTGTTCATAGCAGGCATAGGCTGGTTGGGTACCCCCTTCCCCAGGCTTCTGAGAGTTCCCTGTAAGCCCAGAGGTTCAGGTGGAGGACAGAGATTTTCATTTTCTCATCCGAGAACCAAAGGATCTAGGGCAAAAACTGGCCATATATTTGTTCTGCTGCTTTTGTATCTTTCATGAGCAGGCATAGAGGTTGACTGGCCCTTGTTGAGTTTTATTGGATATAAGCACCTGGATACACACAAAACCCCCATGCATCACTTTTCTTCTTTCACTGCCCTCTTGTCTCGCCCCTGCCCCGGCACATTGCAACACCACAGGAATACGCCAGAGTGCTCTGACTTCTTGGTTGGGAAATTGTGTCCCGAGGTAAGTTTTTTTGCAAAGAGACCCCAGCCTACTCCTAGGGTAAGGAGGAGGTTCAGGCAGCAAGGAAGGATGTTTCATACAGAAGAGTCTGCAAGGGAAAGTGCCAGGACATTTCTCAGACCAACAAGCAAGAGGCTAAGCAGCTTGCCCAGGATGAACAAGCTGCGTCTTAAGTTTCTACCTTCGTGATGGATCATTTTCTCATTCCAGTGCTGGCACTTCCTGCTTCTCAGCCCCTGTCCTTCCTGAAGCTACCTTTCCTCTTCTAGTCTAACTCAATATTGTTCCCAAGAAGTATATTGTCTAGAAGCAGGAAAGATCATAGGCTTTCTGCATTCATGTTCCAGACCTACTACTTACTACTGGCTGTGTGACTGTGGGCTTGTCACTTAACCACCTTGGGTCTCAGTGCCCACCTCACAGCATGAGAATGAGGGTTAAAGGAGATAATGCATGTAAAGAACTTAGCATAGTACCTGGCACATAGTAACCACCCAATGAGTCCTAGCTGTTATTATTTCTGTGGCTATATTATTATTGTTGTTGTTGCTATCATTTCCCGTCACACACCTTTGACTTTGCTAGGCTCCAGGGATCAAATCAACTGCTTCTCTGGCAGTTCTGGTAGGGCACACCATACCTATTCCTAAAATCAAAAAAAAAGATTTTCTAGAACTTTCTACTAACTTTTTGTTAACACTTCCATCACACAAGAAAAGGAGGGGATGTGGAAGAAGAAGATGTGTGCGTGTGTGTGTGTGTGTGTGTGTGTGTGTGTAATATATATAGTCTTTCTGAAGTGGCAGGCAGTGCCATAGTGAAGAGTGAAATTCAAGTCTTTTATATTTTTATTAAAATTGCCATCTTTA